GAGTTTAGGATAATGAGAATACTATATAAGAGATGCAAGGGTGTTTGCATATCGCGAGAGTTTTGAGAGATCTTAGTTTTGAGTTATTTTCTAAGATTGAGTGATTAATAAAGAGCTTGAGAGTTTTTGTGTTAAACTTCGATTCAATAATTGGTATCAGAGCATCCATTAAAATCGAAACCTAACATCTGAGACATGGGAGATAAGGATATCATTACAGCAACAAGCACCACAAAGAATAACGTAGCTTCATCCATACAATGTCCAATACTCAACGACACAAATTATACGGTATGGACTATATAAGAGAGACCAAAGAGAGGATCCCCAGAATCCCCAAATAAAGAGGGGCTACCTCTCTATTTATAGGAGGATGAGGTCTAGGGTTTCCTGGTAACATCATTTTTTAAATGGGCTGAGCCCATTATTTTATAAGCTATGTTGAATGGCAAAGCCACCACCAACAATAAGCCCTCCCCAGTTCGTTGAGAGAGATGGAATTAATCTCTGTGAATTTTACGAAGATGTTTATAAGATAATAGACTTAGTGCTTGTACACTTTGTTGACCCAGGCGAGTTGTACTTTTACTAGGCGAGTTAACAGGTGAACTCGTGCCTAGGACGCGAGTTGTACTCTTGCTAGGGATGTTTACTATGAAATCATCCTAGAAGCAGTAACTCGGCCAGTAACTCATGCCCGAAGGGAGAGTAGTTGTACTCTTACTAGGCTAGTTAAGTGTATACTTGTGCTTGGGGGAAGGCAAGTTTACTAACTCGTACCTAGAAAAAAGTGACTAGTACTTTTACTAGGCGAGTTTACAAGTGAACTCGTGCCTAGGACGCGAGTTGTACCCTTGCTAGGGATGTTTACTATGAAATCATCCTAGAAGAAGTAACTCGGCCAGTAACTCATGCCCGAAAAAGAGTAGTTGTACTCTTACTAGGCGAGTTAAGTGTAAACTTGTGCCTGGGGGAAGGCAAAATTACTAACTCGTGCCTGGGGGAAGGCAAGTTTACTAACTCGTGCCTAGAAAAAGGCGAGTAGTACTTTTACTAGGCAAGTTGACAGGTGAACTAGTGTCTAGGATGTGAGTTGTACTCTTGCTAGGGATGTTTACTATGAAATCATCCTAGAAACAGTAACTCGGCCAGTAACTCATTCCCTAAAGGGGAGTGGTTGCACTCTTATTAGGCGAGTTAAGTGTAAACTAGTGCCTGGGGGAAGGCAAGTTTACTAAACTCGTGCCTAGAAAAAGGATTCACGCATGGAGAGTAAACTCATCTGTGGAGAGTAAACTCATGATTGGAGAGTAAACTCACGCACGTAGAGTAAGGTTAAGCTCATGTATGGAGAGTAAACCCTTATGTGGAGAGTAAACTCACACATGGAGAGTAAACTCATCGGTGGAGAGTAAACTCACGCACGAAGAATAAGGTTAAGCTCAAGTATGGAGAGTAAACCCCTCTGTGGAGAGTAAACTCACGCATGGAGAGTAAACCACGTGGAGAGTAAACTCACGCACGAAGAGTAAGGTTAAGCTCACGCATGGAGAGTAAGGTTAAGCTCATGCATGGAGAGTAAAAAATTAAATATTTATATTTTTGCTTTATGAACGAAAATAAAATTATATAAGCTATTTTAATTATATTTTAATGATATTAAATAACTAAATTGACTAATTTTCAAAATATATTTTATAAACATTTTACAGGACATTGTTAGTAAGAATATTAGTTGCTAAAACTATTCAAAAACAAGTATCCCAAAAACTGATTTTTGATGTTTTAAATATTACTAGATTTTGACCCCCGCTTCAAAAGCGCGAGTTGTTTTTGATTATAAGCAAAATTTAGTATGAAACTGCAATTTGTGATTGTTGTATATTATTGTGTTAAAAATCGTATTTTTCCGAAGAAGAGATTTTTAAAATATATATATATAGCTTATGAATTAGTTTGCTTAAAATTTTATATGTACAATCTTATGTAACTTTTTCTTAGACTTAGGTATTTTATTTGGACCCGAAAATTTAAACCGAAACCAACCCATAAATACATGTTAGGGTTTGCTCCAGATCTAGGGAAAAGTACCTATTGAGTATTTGTTTTGGCTCTTTGTTTGATTTAGAGCTTACCCAAGATTCGACCGGGTCAAAATACCCAAAATATTTTAGTTATATTTAGTTATTTCAAATATATTTTCGGAAATGGATAATTTTTAATTTTCAGATTTAGGTTTTCATTTATAATTTTGGATTTAAAATAAAATTTAAAATTTACAAAAATATATTTTAGGTATTCAGATACAATTTTAGGTATTTTTTGGTTTCCTGGATCAGATTTCAAGTGTTTTTAATCTTCTGGGTATTTAAATATTTTTAGATTTTTATTTGAATTTTTGGGTATGTTTTCGTGTTCGTACGTATTTTTTTGAGTTTTCTAGTATTTTTGGAGTTTGAAAGTATTTTAAGTTGTTCAGGTTTTAAATAGCTGAACCAATATGGATTTGTTATATACCTAAAAGGCTAAAACTATAGATATTTTGAATTATGGACCCGGATCAACTAACATAGGGTCAAACTGGAAATTTTCAAATACCTAATTAGGTTTAAATGTCTAGGACTCGTATCCGAAATCAATTTATGCTTACCAATTCTCACTCAGATTTTGACTGTTTTTATAGCATATATTGATAGGATATTTAATAGTTTTTTAAAATATGTTAAATAACAAAATTGTATTAGAATTATTTTTTTATATAAATTATTTTTAATGTAATATATATATAATTTTATTTTTAACAGATGGTTTGGTTATGATTTTATGAAAATTGATTTTGTAAATATTTGAAACTATATAATGTAAAATGCCATGATATAATGTGTTAAATGATAGATACTAACGCATTTGTACTACTATGTATGTTTGTTATTGAGCATAGGATATAAGATATGGTGTACATTGCATATTATTAATTTGTTTTGATTTTTTCATCGCTTAATGAAGTGAATAATAATGTACTCAAAATATTGAAATGTGTAAAAGGGAACATGTTCGATGCAAAAATATCCAATGACATAATTAGGGATGGCAATAAAAGACCTGTACCGCGGGCCTGGCCCGTAAAGGCTTGCTACGGGGTGGGATTGGGTCTTCATTTGATAAGCCCGCAAAATTACGGGCCTCGCGGGACATGCTCAAAATGGGACGAGCCGAATGCGGGACGGGCTCAAAACGGGACGGGCCAAATGCGGGACGGGTTAACCCGCTGGATTTTGAAGACCCGCAACCATAAGTCCCCATTTCTGTTTGGTTTTGTTTTCAATACTATAAATTTCCTTATTATTATATGGAATTTTCTTGTTTAACTTGATGAGTTTTGTTTTCAGTATTGTCAAGTGGTGTTTTAAAAAAAAATTAAATTTTGTTACAATGATGTTGTTAAAGAGTTACTGCTTGTTGAAGAGCTATTGTTTGTTCTTTAAACGGCTCGAAATGAGAGTTAAGGTTACTGCAGAATCTTGTATTTACACTCTAAATTCAACAGCTTGGTTGAAAGAGAAGAAGAAACAATTAGTATCAAGTTATTGTTGCTATGAAGAGACATTGCTTTACAAAGAATCAAACAAGGAATATTCTTGAAAGAGTTAAATTTTACTGTCCAAATGGCTCTCACTTACTTCAAGACCATTAAACCAGCGAGTGATCACATTGGATGTTGTTGCGATCGATGTTGTTCAGCTTTCTTCAACTTCTTTACACAACTCTTCTACTTTACCATTTATGAAGGAAGCTGAAAGAGACGTCCCGCGGGACTGCCCGCAAAGGCTTATAAATTATACGATACGGGATTGGGTAACCATTCGGAAGACCGCAGTCCGCACGGGACAGGTCCATCGTGATTCACTCGATGAAAATGAAAATTTTATGAAATTCTATAGTAATAATATTATTAACCACACAAAACGTTATAAAAAGTTAGATAAATAAGTAACACTAAATTATATTTGTTCATTGATAAATTTTATTATGTATTTTAATCTTAGATTACATAACATGGCGTTAGCGGTACACAACAACGCCATCATATCTTCTCGACGCTGTTTGTTAATCTTTATGATTACGCAGTGTTACTAATAATAACAGCAGAGTCTAAATGTATCCCTTAACCAATGTATCACTAGACTAGAGTTTTATTTTGCTGTTTATAGTAACAAAAGTATAATTCAATTCAGAAAACAAAAGAGATATCCTAAAAAACAAAAGACTCAATACAGTAGTAGTAGTAGTTACCCAAAAGAACAAAAGACAAGTGATTGATAAAAGGAAGAGAAAAATAGAAGCCTCTTTCAAGTATTCTACCTGGGTTCAGGAGGCACTACTTTCAAACTCCTCATCCACTCGCAGAAACTCTCTTCATCAAACTCTATAAAACTACTCTTTAGTTTCCTTCTTTGCTCCGCCGTCAACCTTCTTACCTGTGGAAATCTTGCTTCCTGCAACACATATATACAATCCCCATTCAGAGGAAGACAAAGTAAACAACAAATCAAGATTTCTCTGTTTTACCTGCTCATAAGGAGGATCTTTATGCGCTGGTATAAGCCGGCAAACAAAGTATCTAGCCTGTGAACTTCCCTCCTGTTTTTATAAACACCACATGACCCACAAGATATTAGCTTCGTTTCAACGGATTACTAGATAGATGTTGAAAGTATCATGATTGCTTTGAGATAATGTCTTTGAGACATCAAGAACCTTGAATGCGAGAATGCGCGGTGCTGGAAACCTGAACTCGGTTAGTTCTTCAGCCAACGTTCTGCATGCTGCTAAAACCGCAGCGCTCTTCACCTCATCAGCAGACAGTTCCGCTCCCTAAATCAGCAGAAAAGAAAGATTAACCACAAATGTTTTACCGCATCAACATTATGAAGACAAGAGAAACTTACCAACCAAATAAATACATCCGTGCCATGGTCAAGAATAACAGCCTTATCTGATTGCATTGACAGATCATAAGCTGGTAGTTCCTCGAACGTACCTCCTTCTTGGTGCATCAAGCAACGTGGAGCTACCATTCGTAGAGACAGATCGAAAGATGCGTTCAGAAACAAGTTTCTTAGCACCGATCTTTCATCTTCATGACCAATGATGTTTCCCAGTAGAGGACCTCTCCTAAGATGGAAGAGGAGCTCCGGAAGAGAAGATAGTTCCTTGGGGAAGCTATAAAGCTTTGATTTTGGCACTTGTGATCCGAACTTCAAAGCAATGTCTTTGATTCTCTCGTCTATGGTAGCGCGCATATCGACTGCGTCCTTCTGAGTTTTTGCTATCAAAAGAGTTCTCTTGGAGATGAGAACCGCAGCAGCTTCGTCTACAACACTCTGAAGATATGCTGAGACACTATCAACGGTTGGTAATTTGAAGGTAATCACGCGAGACACATCTGCTTGATAAACATCTGAATAATGGAAAGCAAACTGGAAGAAGACGTGATCGCTTTGGATGTCTCTCTTATTCTCCATCGAGATAGAGAAGCTTTGTGTCTCTTCAACACTTAGCATCTGAATACAAACAGCTGGATCACTCTTAAACGTCTCGTGAGTCTCTGAATGTGCTTCTTCGCCAGGTCCAATCACCTGAGTTATACGAATATCATCTGAACATCGAACTTCAAGCAGACCATGTGAACCCGCTGCTCTAGTAGCCGCCCTCTGCAAGTCCACGCCAAAGGCTTCACCAAAATCATCGTGAAGAACCAAAACACCACCTGAAGCTTTTGCTAGTGGCTGCAGGACAGGAACCCTGAGAGGGCAAGTCCCAGCGCACAATATATCCACGACTGTGTTGTGTCTGTGAGCTTCACGCCCTAAAGTCTCCATCCATTTTATAGCTGTCTTTTCCATGTAAGGATAATTCGGATGACTCATCGAATGGGGCACTGATCCTGGACCATATGTAATGGGTCCACCAGCGCAAACAATGATTCTACTGTTACCTCCGGCTCTTCTGACCACTCCCCGAGACATTTCTGCAGATGGTCCTTGAATTATGGCTAGAGCAGCCTCAACAGCAGTTCCAAGGCACCGATCTCTAGATGCTTCAGGAACATTCAATGTGTATGGTCTTAAGGATGAGAATATCTCGTGTGCTACCTTTAGTGATGCATGCATTGGTGACAAGTATACACCGGTTCCATAAATCAGCGATTTCATCGACTCTGCTGATGGTGATTTAGCACCAGAGATAACATCGGCTGAAGCTACTGATTCTTCAGAGAAATCATAAATCGAAACAGTACGGCCATACACTACAACCCCAAGCCTGGTGGTTTGTGGAAGCGAGTCAACAAATGCATGCAAAGAACTCTGCAAGTGCTGGAGGTGCGGTTCATCTAAACACTCATCGATAACAAGGACGACTGGTGCAGATGTCCGAGAATCAGAAGCAGGAACAAACCCAGGTCTCCTGTTTCCAGTCTGAACATAATCAACCAGAGGCATCGAGAGTTCTGGATAGTTACGCAATTCATCCTTGCTCATAGCAACATATTCACCTTTACTTCCATTCATGTTCTCGCAGATGACGCACTGCCATTGCCCTGAACCAATCAATATGGAGGTATATGGATTAGAATACGCTCCACAGTGCAGACAACGATGTGGGTCACGCTGGATAATCTGAGGACCAGGACTAATCTCCCTCCCTGCAGAAACTATAGCTCCAAACCCCAAACTCGCAACATTTGCTAGCTTCTTTTGCTTTAAAACCTACAATAAAAGGACACAACTTAGCAACTCAAATTACGAGACTATGAACTCCAACTGTGAACTAAAAAGGATAAGAAACAAAACCTTATTTGCAGAAAACAAAACGTAAGGAGAGTCAGCAGCTATAGGTTCCTCCATTCTAACAACATCCGGAAGATCACGCTGAGATCCAGTAGAAGACCCATTTGAGTAATAGGAAGGTGTAGATACAGGCAGAGAAGAACCCGTGGCAGAAGAGTAACCCATAGGCTGAGGAGTAGCCGGTGAGGTACGGAAAGGCACAGCAGCTGGTTTAACCGGAGTGTTAAAGACCGGAGGACCAGGTGGAGTACTCATACGAGGCACAGGGCTTCCCGTTCTGATACCATTAGAAGGTGACAACAGGTTTGGTGAATGCATCTGATCAGGTCTGAAAGTTGGTGGTGCTTGAGGATACCTAGGAGGTGTAGGTGAAGGCACTACTGAAGGAGAAGGAGATTGAGAGAGTGGTTGTTGTGATGGTCTATTTGGTTCTAATGGTGGAAGAGGTCCCGGGTGATTAACCGTTCTCTGTGGTACATTAGCCATCTGATTCCAAGTTTCTCAACTTACGAACTCGACAGTAGATCACAATCAACAACCTGAACAGTCTAGAATTGTATCCAGATCACGAATATGCAGAGAATCTGAGCTCAAAAGATCAAAATACACAGGACAATCCACAAGCTGAACAGCGTAGAACTGTACTCGGATCGAATCCAGATCAAGAATCTGCACAGAATTTAAACTTTGATCTCAAACAAAGTTCGAACAAAATCCAAAATCACAATCCACAAGCTGAAAACGTCTAGAACTGTATTCAGATCACGAATCTGCAGAGAATCTAAGCTCAAAAGATCAAAATACACAAAAGACTGCGAAAGTTTAGTAAGATCACAACAATCCACAAGGTGAACAGCCTAGAACTATACTCAAATCGAATCCAGATCACGAAACTACAGAGAATTTCAACAATTCGAACTCAACAAGATCAGAACACAAAATCGAAATTCAAAATCACTAGTTCATTTCCTTGAACTGTATCCAGATCACGAATCTAGAGAGAATCTGAGCTCAGAAGATCAAAATCGATTGCGAAAGCTATCCTTCTAACCAGAATCACTAATTCGTTTCGTTCCTTTCTGTTAGAGAGAATCGACTTACCAGTCCAACGATTCGATCACCGACGATCCGGAGAAAGTGTAAATCAACCTCGCCGCAAAAAGGTTGATCGCAAAATCAGGCGGAGATCGAGAATCGCGAAACCCTAATCGCGAGATTCGTAAGACGAATTTTTGACTCGCATTGAATTTATTTCTTTAGCTTACAATCTCACAAGACTCCTCCATTTTCACCTCTCGATTTTTTTGTCTCCCGTGCGTGGCAGTTTCGTAAATATTAGGATCTTCTCTGGTCGTTCCACTCACCGCACTTTGCCTTGCTGGCATAATCGTGAGATTTGATTGGTTTAAATATCTAACGCCAGCACATTGCATGACGTGGCAGTAAACGACGTCGGTTTGAGTACTCTCTCAAAAAGCAGTAAAACAAGCAACGTAACGGTTAAAGACTGATACTGACCTACTCTGTATACCTTATGGAACAAGAAAGGCTTAAAAGTTCCGATATTGCTTGATGTGAGATTTATTACTTAAGAAAGAAACAATGAAGAAATATAATTTATTATTACAAGTTCACTGTTAATTTGTGAGATTGCTATCTTTTTTTGGGTGTAAATGTCAAGTGAGATTACTATTTGTTAACAGTTTATTAAAAAATCCTAAAAGAGATGTTGGTCCTGAGTTAAGTTTATGAAATTATTGTTTAGATGCTAGATAAGAGGATACAGTCTCACAAGTATGATCTTAATGCAAGAATGGATTTTCCTCTCTTGATCCACTTTGAAGAAGTGTATTGGACTGTTAAAATATGATAGTATATGCTACGCATGTCACACATGTTTTCTAATGTTTTCCTAAGATATATGACCTAATCTATGTATAATTATATCTCCTTATGTGTAAACGTACTTCAATATCAGAACGACAAGCATATTCACACATTGACTTTGATTTTTAACAGTCCAATGCACTTATCAAAACAACAAGCATATACACATCATTGACTTTGATTATTTTTTCACTTAAAATAAACAAAAATTGCAATTTGTCTTTTGCTTTGATTCATTGCCTCTCCATAAACCAAACTTTTCCAGATCCCATTTATACAGGCCAATCAAGTCTTCCTTTCTGGAATTGTATCCAATCCTTCACCAAATTAGGATGGAGATATTAGGTATTATAAAGAATCTCAAAACCATACATGGAGGTAAGACTACATGACCGATACCAGATGATAATAGGAAATTACAATGTATGTCAAACTCCAATGTAAGTTGATGTGGGATATAATTTAAGGGAGAAAAAAATGAGGAAAACTATTTTTTTATCACTTAACCTCAGTGTTTACTTGTGAGATTAGTATCTGTTAACATTATACAAAAAGAAAATTGCAAAAAGTTGCTGGTCGTGGAATAAAGTCTATGAAATTATTGTTTATACGCAAAATAATATTACTAATTTAGAATCATTAAGTATAATCTTAAAGCAAGAAGGGTTTCACCTCCATTAGACCCATTTTGAAGAAGTCTGTTGGACTGTTAAAATATGATAGTATATGCTACGCATTTTCAGACCTATACTCTTATCTTTTCCTAAGATATAAGACCCAACATATGTATAAATATATCTCGTTAGAGTGTAAAGTACTTCAATATTAGTACAACAAGTATATTCACATCATTGACTTTGATTTTTTCAATTTAAAATAAACTATACTAGCACGTTTTTGTTTTTTGCTCCGATTCCAAACTTTGACAGCAAAATTAGGAATCCCTTCACCAAATTAGGGTCGAGAATATTAGGCATTATGAAGAATCAGACCTACTCTTCATAGAGGTACGATGGGATGATACCAGATGATTATAGACCCACCACGAAAACAAAATTAGGAATTCACAATGTTAACATTATTGTGTAAAGGCCAAACCCATGGCAAATATCATCACCATGATCATCATTCATCACCATGTGAAGTCAATTTGTAGAAAATAATGATTTATATGACTTTTTCATGTTTAATATTTATGTCACAATATATGCATAATTTTGTAAAGGCCAAACCCATGGCAAATATCATCACTGTGATCAACATACATGGGATGTAGTTTAGTAGAAACAGTGATTTATATGACCTTTTCTCGCATGTTTAATACTCCTTAACTAGGTGTTTTGCCCGCACATGCGGGCTTAGTTATCCTTAAGTCAATTTAAAAAGATTATCAAAATAAATGATTATTTTCATCCAAAAAATTTGACCAACAACATTAAAAAAATTTACATGATAAAGTTATTAAAATTTTTAAAAAATCTATTTTTTCTTTAAAACTTTGAAAAAAATCTAAAGTCTATTTCATTTCGTCTTAATTGATAAAAAATATAAAAACCAATCTTTCAATTTGATAAATTGAATCGATAAATATACTTTCAAAAACTGATCTTACAGAAATAATAATATTAGTTTGGATAATATAACAATATATTTGAATTTTTTTTTTGTCAAACACATATATTCTTTCTTTTTGAATGATCTTTTATTTTATTGTGATTATTTCATGTTTAATGTTTAACTATATAAAATATAAAAAAAAAATTTAATTTAACGTGTGAGTTTAGAGACGAAAATAACTTTACAATTTTTCCTTTTGAGCTATATACAATTAAAAATTTTACTTTATGAATATTTATTTATGTATTTTCTGTTTTTAATTTTTTTATTAAAATATATTTTTCAGATAACAACACAATATATATAGGAATTATCTTTTTTTTTAAAAAATATATATATTTAGATTATGGATAATTCTTATCATTATTATTAATTTAAATCATTTATTTAATTAAATAAGTATTAAATTCGTTTTTATTTTTGGCTGATTTATATATTTCATTCATTAAGGGTATAATAAATGTTAATCATTCTAACTTTTAACGTGAGAGCTCCGTTGCGAAAAATCACTTCGGAATTTATTTATGTGTTTTCTGTTTTTAATTTTTTTATTAAAATATACTTTTTCAGATAACAACAGAATATATATATGAATTATCTTCTTTTTTTTTAAATATATATTTAGATTATGGATAATTCTTATCATTATTATAGATTTAAATCATTTATCTAATCAAATAAATATTAAATTCGTTTTTATTATTGGCTGATTTTATATATTTAATCATTAAGGGTAATATCGATATTAACCAGTATAACTTTTAACGTGAGAGCTCCGTTGCGAAAAATCACTTCGCAAATAATAGTATAGAAAACCAAAAGAAAAATGTTTTAAAGTTACATTCATTCTAATTTTTATGTTAAATTTTATTATTAATTAAGTCCCCTGCAAGAAAATAATAACAAAAAATTATAAAAAAAAAATTGATAGGATAAATTATACTAATATTTAAAAATGAAAAATATATTATTGAAGTTGAGAAAAGCCGAGAAAAAATAATTAATTTGAAATGGATTGGTAGGTTAGTATTAACTACCCAAGTGCAAATTCGAATAAATGATTTGATAAAGAATAGTGGGAAAAGAAAAATCGAGATAATTAGTCACATTCACTAATTTAATTATACAAACAAACAGTCATTAGTCTACATAGATAACATAGAGCATGTGGTCCCAAACATCGATAATCAGTTCTTCATACGTGGCAAGTAGACCCCACACACTAACAAAAGCCTATAAGTTATTACACATCCCAAACACCAATCACACTTCTTCTTATTCCTTTTTTTTCCAAAAAACCAAACTCTTTTATTTTTCTTAGTTTTTGGAATTTTACGTTAAAATAAAAAAGATCAATTAATTTGTTCTGATTTATTCGTAAGTTTTGGTAGATTCCTCCTTTTCTTGGGAAATGGAGAACCAACCTTTAATCAGTCCTCAATCACGTTACCCTCTCCACCCCATCCCTGAAAACCCCTCCTCCTCCATCACCACCGTCTCCACCGCCGTCACGATCCCTCACTCAATCTCAACCACCTCTTTCTTCCACCAAGACAACAACATCCACCACGACCTCGAAAAATCCGAACTTAACAACCCTACAGACCCAACAGACTCTTATTTCAACAACCCTCGTCCTCTCCACCGATGCCGCACAGCACCAGCCATGGTCATCATCAAAGACCTCATCCCCAAATCCTCATCAGACCCCAAGAAGCCATCACCAATCTCAAAATCAATCATCAAACAAGCCATCTTCCTCCTCATCATCTACCTAACCCTAGGAGTCACAATCTACTCTTTCAACAGGGATCATTACTCAGGCATCGAGACACACCCCGTGGTCGACGCCCTTTACTTCTGTATCGTCACTATGTGCACAATCGGCTACGGAGACATCGCCCCGTTGACTCCATGGACAAAGATATTCGCTGTCGTCTTCGTCTTGTTCGGTTTCGGGTTTCTTGATATTTTACTAAGTGGTGTTGTTAACTACGTTTTGGATCTTCAGGAGAGTATGATCCTCACGGGAATACAAATGGGTTCCTCTAGAAGTGGGCATAGATTCTCTGCTAGAGACTATATAATCGATTTCGAGAAAGGGAGGATGAGGATAAGGATGAAAGTGTTTTTGGCCTTGTGCGTCGTCGTTTTGTGTATAGGAGTTGGTGCGTTGGTTTTGCATTTCGTCGAGGAGCTTGATCTCGTGGATTCGGTTTACTTGTCGGTTATGTCGGTTACTACGGTCGGGTACGGTGATCGTGCGTTTAAGACGCTTCAAGGACGGCTTTTCGCCGCGGCGTGGCTGCTTGTGTCGACGCTCGCGGTGGCGCGTGCGTTTTTGTATCTGGCGGAGGCGAGGATTGATCGGAGGCATCGGAGGGCTGTTAAGTCGGCGTTGAATAGAGAGATTACGGTTGAGGATTTGCTTGCTGCTGATACTTATCAACACGGTTTCATCAGGTACATAAACTTTTTATGTTTTTTTTTCCGACAACAAGTCTATCTGGTTTGGTTTGAAATTTTAAAAGTTTGACTTTTTGGTTAATCTTTGATCATTAGTTTATGCTTAAGAGAGATCTTGAGCTGTTTATGCAATTTCTAGTAACTAATCTTGAAGCTGAATAACTTAAAGTTAGTGTGTTTATGTTTAGATTGTGTTGTGGGTCAAAGAGATTAATCAGACTAGTCATATTGCAACCTTAGAGTTTTCCTTGCAAGCAACAATTAACTATCAAAGTGTGTTAAAATTTTTAATTGTTTAGTCTTATCCAATGAGTTTAAGACACCAATGACTGAGTCTTAAGTGATTAATCTTCTGACCCTTTTGTGTTTGATTTGTTTTGTGTGTGTCTCAGTAAATCAGAGTATATTGTGTTAAAGCTCAAGGAAATGGGGAAGGTCAGTGATAAAGACATTAACCAAGTAGTGAATCAGTTTGATAAACTTGATCCTAATAACTTGGGGAAAATCACACTACCTGATCTTTTGGGTGGTCCTTTGTGATATACATACACCTTATTTTTTCTTCTTGTACAATTATTTTTCCTTTTTTTCCTTGAAGAAAAAGAACAGAATATATGTAGCGGCGCTGATTCATACAAAGAGATGTCTCAGTTCATTAGAGATAATGTAAATGTGTATTCTTTTTATGCTTTGTATAAAACTGTGACAATGTCAATACTTAAATTTAGTACTCCCTCCGTTTCGAATTAATTGTCATTCTAGAGAGAAAATTTCGTTTCAAAACAAGTGTCGTTTTAGAGTTTCGAGATAAAATTTATTAACCTATATGATATTCTATTTTTCTATTGGTTGAAAAGTGCTTAGGTGTATAGGTAATTGTGTTTTTATTTTGAAAATATGTAAAATTAAATGTTTCCTTAATCTGTGTATAAAAATTTAGAATGACAATTAAAATGAAACGGAGGGAGTACTCAACAAAATGGATAATATACATATATCCAAATAAAAATAGACAGTTCTCCAAAAAATAATATACATTTCAAATAATTAGCTTCTTGTTTTGGATGACATTCACATGAGTTTGGTAGTATATAAAACAGATATATCAAGGATTCTCATATATCTGATATAAAAAGGAGTCTTGTGGTTATGGATATGCTAATCTTTGTCACTGGTGATATCATTCGGTGGAAAAAGAAGCTCTAAAGCTGCGGCTTTTTGTCTCTTGATTTAGTAGAAAGGTTGATTGACCAAGTATCACATCTCAATTCATGCACAAAAATTTTAACAGCTAACAATTAGTATTAAACATTAAATTTATTAATTTTTATACTTTCATAATTTCAGTCATCTTTTTCAAAATTAGACATTTCAATTTGTCATTCAAATAAAGAAACAAATTGAAAGCTGTTAAGTGACACTACCTTTACAATGACTACAGATAAAACACAATATGTTACAAGTATAATTGATAGGTTTTACCAAAAAAAAAACTATATATAATTGATAGGTATGGGTTACGTTTCTACGATATATAGTTGATTATGATTTCATGTTTGATGAATTAAAAACATTAAGGGTTAGAATGACAACATGCATAACAACTGTGATACGATGTTAAGAGTAATCAAAATATATAAATGCATAGATATATAGAAATTTTGTTATTATTAATTACGCACGCTGAAGTGTGGTTTATAACATTTGAATCATATATTTATTTTGTAATTATATTAAACAACAATGAATTTAATAGTAAAATGTGCAATATAGTAAAAAGTGTAAAATGCTAAATGTGTAGAAACAGTTTTACAATATTATCTTACTAGGGCTGGCCCAGACTACGCCCGGATTTTTCGTTGAAAGTTTAATTATATACGTTGTATGTTATTTTGATATATAAATATTATAATCTATTATAAAATATAAGTAGTTAGACAATTATATAATTATTTTTAATTATTTATTGTTTTTTCGATTTTCAAAAATTTTAATATCCAAATTTTGTATGTCATAGATTATCAGTATGTGTTTTACGTAGAATTGTTGTGTCTTGTGGCTCGTCTAGACTTTTGTTTCTTTATTTGTTGTGTGTTATTATTTTATTTTCAATTTTTTTTGTAAAATATGGTTTGGTTATTTATTACTCATTGTTTACTGTATGAAGCTTTTTTGATAATTATTCTAAATTTGATCTTATTACCTATTAATGGAAAGAAAATTTAGTGTGTGAATCTTTTTTCCTTAGGTTTGATGAAACGTAAAAGAAAACAATATGATAATAGATTTTTCGTCTTTCCAAACTTATAGACTTCTTTATTTATTTTGAACATATTTAAGTATTCTGTAACACTAATAAATCTTTATTAAACTTTTAAACACAGGAAAAAAAATTTCATTATACTCAAATTATATTACATAGCATAATTAAATTTTAATTAGTCTATTTTTATATCTTATTAGTTCTTAGTTTTTAAATTATTTTCATTATGTATTAATTGTTGATCATTTTTATATCATTTTGTATTCTAGGTTAACCTTAAATTTTGTGGTAAAAAGAGAACTAACAATCTTGTGAGATTCAGTTTTTTATTTTCGTTGGTATAAATCTAATGAAATGTATAAAGATTAATATCATAAGTTGATTTTTATTCTTTCTCATGAATTTTATTTATTATAATTATAAATTTATTTGCTTTAATTATATTATATATTTTACTAAATGATTATCTTATCATAATTATAATAATTTTATTTATTATAAGTATAAATTTATTTGTTTTAATTATATTATATATTTTCACTAAATGATTATTTTTTTAACAAAAAGATTAATGTCAATTTTTTGGTTTCATTAAAAATAAAATATAATTATAATGATTTAAAAGTTATTAAATTGTTTGAAAGTTTTGGTGGTTGTATTTAGGATTTCTTTCATGTTTGTTTGGGACATGTTATACGGATCAATATGAAATAGTTGTGTGTTTTTTTAATGTTTTATTCTGGAATCTATGGTATTATGTGCTAATTGTTCTCCAACTTTTTCTTAAAAACTATCAATCAAGTGGACAAATATTTACTCACATTTACTCTTTTTTATTATTGTTTCAAAAGAGATAAACGCACACTCATTTTTTTGCTAGATATAGTGAACGTAACAATATTTCTCATTTTCCTTATGTTTTCCATTTTATTTTTTCTGATTCTGTTTGATCCGGAAAAACTGTGAGATCTTAGCGGCCACTGAAGTGGTGTTATAAGGTGAAAGATTCTGAAGTACGATGGTGTTAAGCTAATGACATATTATTTTTTCAAGTTATACACCTAATATTCAGATTTATTTTGTCATCATATTATTTTGCAGCTTATACGCCTGATATTAAGATTCATACGCATGTATTTGTTTTAAAATAATTGATTGTTATTTAGTGTTTCCTTTGTCTATAATAAAATGAATGACATGTTCACTTAAACATTTCACCGTCTCTATCAAAATTTTATGTTCGTTTATATTTTGGACATTTTTATTTTTACCTACTATCAAACATATTTTGAAATACTATATTATTTTAGTATTATAATATTTTATGTTTTGTTTATTTTTCATAAAACCATATAGTTATTTTTATGTGTCCGACTATTTTTATATGTAGTAATTGATATAAGTTCAGTGTGTATACAATATCATTTTTAACAAAAACATACAATATAATTTATGTGGAAATATTTTCATTTGTTTGATGTGTTTATTCCTTTTGATTTAGTTTGTATTCTGATTTTTTCTGTATATTTAATGCATATTAATTCCTAATGTTCTATTATTAAAAATTTAGTGATACACACACATAAGATAAACATATATATATATATATATATATATATATATATATATATATATATTCAAATTTAGTGAGTATCTGATTTTCTTAATTTATTGAAAATAAAAATAACATTAAATTTCACTATTTCTATTTTTTATTATATAAGTAATTTCTAATATTTTTCAGTGTTGATAAAATAAAATATCTAAGAATATAAATTAAAGATTATTTTCAGCCAATTTGTGTTGGAATCTTTATATTTGTTTGATGTGTTTATTCTTTTTGATTTAGTTTGCATTCTTATTTTTTCCTGTATATTTAATGCATATTAATTTCTAATGTGTTATTATTAAAAATATAGTCATAATATATATATATATATATATATATATATATATATATATATATATATATATTCAAATTTAGTGAGTATCTGATTTTTCTTAATTTATTAAAAATAAGAATAACATTAAATTTCACTATTTATATTTTGTTATTTTATTATATAAGCATTTTCTAACATTTGTCAATGTCAACGAAATAAAATATCTAAAAATATAATTTATGGATTATTTTTATCCTTATACATTTTTTAATTCATGGATACTATGATATTTCAATATATTTTTAATCTTAAAATAAAAAGATGCATACTTCCTAGAAAGAATTAATAACAACATTTACATAAAGTAAACCTTTGTTAGTATTAAACATTATTTTTTCTGTAAGAATAATTTTGAATGTCATATGTAATTTATTCTCATCCTATTTAGTGACATGACAACCTTACATGAGAGAAAACTCTATTGTATATGATAAGATTATTTTCGACTTCTTGTTAATAGCAATAACAATGGCGATAAATTCTTCAAACGTGGTTTGATATTTATAAGGTTTAATTTTGATTTAAAAATTACATAATTAGACCATCTCCAGTGGTGTTTCAATTTTCACTTTTTTTGTTTCATTTTGAAGCAAGTTTCGTTTTAATGGTATTTTATTTATTGTTTCAAAATGATGCAGTGAACAGTATCGCTTCAAATTTGAAGCAATACTGTTCATTGTTTTTTGTTTTGAAACTAAACTCTCTAAATTTTAAATTGGTCCTTAAATTTTATTTATTCATGCATTTTGATGAAATAAACTGCATTAATCAATATACCTTAATTAATTTCTAATATTTGTTTATTATATTAATTTAGTGAAATATTATAAATATAGTTAATATAAAAGTGAAATACATTACTCTGTTTCTTTATACACACTAAATTTTATGTCTTACCATGAATTATAATTCCTCAAAATTCACTACATTGGGATGTTTCTTTATAAAACCTAGTATTGTTATTCTTCATTTTTGTTATGTGTAACAATTTTATTATATAATAACGTAAAATTTATAACAATTGTATTAGATTAGTGTTAAACCAAAATAATTGAATATAATTAGTAAATATGAAAAATATAAGGTATTATTAATAATTAATGATAAAATTGAGATAAAATATATTTAAAATATTATTTTTACAAGAAATAAATAAAACAAACCATTGAAAAATATGTACATGTTAAACAAAGTGAACTTTTGAAACAAAAAATGAAGCCAACCATTGAAGATATTCTTATAAATATATATTTTAAATTGTTTGGAGATCAGATAAAAAGTATAATACATAAGTACTATTAAGTACTATGAAGAATCAAGGCAAGCATATGTCTCGTTATCTATTCTCTGGACAGATCATAAAACTTTTATTAGTTATTAGAGATTTTTCCAGGCTACATTCGATTTTTTCTCCCTATATTCATATAATTTATTATAAAATATATTTGACTATATATTTTACAATTATACTGAATATGCTACATATGTTAATAGATAAATTTACCATTTCTTGTATCGTTTCTGTTTAGTTTAAATTTAAAATCATTAAAATTTAGTTTTTTTCAATATCAAAATACATGTAAGTTGGTAACAAACTGAATAAAAAATAAATTAATTTTTTTAGTTAAAACTAAATTATCTCATTTATTTAAATTTTGTGAAAATTGCTAAATTAACATATAATTCCAACAGTGTTTTAACACTAAAATCAACGACTATATATTTTAAAATTGTAATATTGATTATTTATCATTTGTTATTTTGTTTATGTAAACATCCAACTGTCTCCTCTTTGAACCTGTATAACGCCATTTCCTGCTGTTTGAAGTATCAATGATCCTCTTCGTACACCAGCACAAGAATCATATAATACTTTGAATCTGTTGTTGATGTTCTGAGAATCTACCCTATCAAGCTGCACCGTACTTCTTTCTTCACTTATGTTTCCTTCATAAAACCCTCTGTTCAACCCTCCATAAATAGCAAGTATAAGATATGTGGACATAAACACAAGTTTTATCTAAATCCAACTTTATCAAACATTTACTACTCATTCAGCATTTTTAATGTTACTGTTTTTTTTTTTCCAAATAGAAAAAAAAAAGCTCCATATAATAGTGGCTTCTTCCACTCTTATATTATTTTATATTACTTCGGTTTCCTTCAATAGCTCTGCTTCACCCAACACACTAACCATGCAAGTATAGTGTTTTATCGATGGCTTAATAAATTAAATTATTTTTGTCTTATCATTAAACAGATCAAATAACCAGTTGTCTTCTCCAATTTCAGACATATTCAAATTTCTAATTATAAAATCTTTGATCACCATCCTAACAAGTGACTATTGTTCCATTGTTATGTATGATGCATACACATATAACTAGGTCACCAATATTTAAATAATGACAGAACCATTACAACATATGTGTACAAAGTACAAACTATGAGAATAGGAAAATCTATAAATAAGCAAGATGGAATTTCTTACTTAAGCTTCACAAGCGTACATAATAACAAACAAACTCACTAATGCGTATATGATGAAGGGTTCTAATAAAATGAAGCAAAGACACTAATAAGTTATCAAAACCCATCTTATACAATAGAAAGCTTAAAAATCTAAGTACACCATAAAGAGAATATCCATAGAGAAGTTATGCTAAGGATTTTTTTATATAAAAAAAAAGATAACTAATAACTAATACTCATACATATAGTATAGAACCAATAACTGTTACAAAAGATATTTGCTCTAGAAGAAAAATACTGATACAGAAGAAAATGATAACTATCCAAACAATTGAATTAGCTTTTCAAAGTTAAAAGAAAACACATACGATGTAATAGCTTATCCACTGAAAAGTTAAAAAGATTGATCAATTTTAACTTACGAGTTTCAGACAGTTGCATGAAACGGCCTAAAATTGAAGTAATAAAATTGTAAGTTAAAAAGTAAAGAGAATACTTGTTGAAATATGATTCGTCGGTGACATCATACGCAAGCAAAATTTCCACGGTTCTATGCTGCAATAAGAAGAAACACATAGGTGAATACTACATGTCCAACCATAGTGAGGAAAGAGAAATAATGCATATATAGTAAGATGAATCGAGAAGCAAAATACGGGTATACTAAATCAAAACTAAGAGAAACCAGTTGTGATAGTCGCGAATCGCTCTTGTCTGGTAGTATCTCAGATTTGCAGCTTAATGCTTTTATAATCCAGCTCAATAGCCCATATTTTGAAATTAATTCTTTCAACAAAAAAAAAAAAGAACTTGAATAACTGTTGACCACTACAAAGAGCACTTACGAATAGTGTCATGTATCAAATAGATCATACTTGGTAGTTGTAATGAAAAATATCAACATGGTTCTTTTCGTAAGTTTCATGATTGAAGAGAAGTATGCTCTTCAGTTACGTCTTTTTCATTCCTTTAATCCAGTTCTGTTTAATCAAGAAACGAAAAGAGAAACATAATTTTAAAAATACATTATGATTTAAGAGAAGATAAGATATGATAGGAACATTATGAGATTATTTTACTATAGAGAAAAACATATAGTGATGTAACACACATCATTGACAGAGCTGGTCTGAGATGTGGTGCTGCAATAGATAGAAAGAACATGAAATAAAAATCTAAAGAGAGCGTTTTTTATAATTCGATTTCCGTTTTTACAAACGAAAACCCTCTTTAATAGAAGTCAAATAATGAGTGTTTTTTTATAGAAATCAAATCGATTATCGAACTGAGCAAGGTAATTGGTTTTTGTACCAAATTTTTTTTGTGAAAAGAGAAAGATTAAAAAAATTAACCGCATATGTAATAACATGGTCTAAATATTTTTGCCAAATATATGATATGTCACTAGTTCAGTATATAATTGGTTAATTAAATATGCTGAAGTGGACACTCTAAATGTTGATTATATTCTTTTTTTAATATTGGAAGATGAGAGTTATAATCACAATTAACAACCTATACGTGTTTTTTGTTAGCTGACTAGTGAATTGATTGCTCTAGCTTTGAATAAATGGATAAACTTGACTGTTACTTCTTCTTTCCGGTCACCTGTTTCATGTTGGAGACAACATTTCTGTTTTCGTACGTCTCGTATCATCGTATGGACCGACAATAAAGAATCTTATAAAGTTATAGCAAAAGGGTTAATGTAAATGGGTTCCACGTCTGTATATCCATTGTTCCACGTCTGTATATCCATTTACTTTGAATGGATCAAACGTATGACCTGTTTTTGTTTTTGTTTTAATCATTTAATTAGCAATGTCGTTGTTTGTTCAGGATTACTTGTAATTTCGTGTTGTACTCACAAGAGATACGTGTACTGCCGTATTTGTGACAAGAATATACGTGTAGTGCCGTATTTGTGACATGTAAATAAACCTGTATTTTCAGTTGATCTACACTTATTACAAGTCAAACCATTACATAATAAAAAAGATTTTATAGTCCACTATCTTTTTTTATTTCTAAGATTTTGAAATTTTGATAGATGGAATCTATAATAGTTGATGCGTTCAAACAACCGCTGCTTACTCACTACTCGTCATTGTTCTTTCTATTATATAGCTGTTCAAAAAAGAAGATATTATATTACGGAGTCATTATAAAATCAGCATTCAGTACCATATACAAGTACATGATAACATGGACCGATAAAACCAAAGAAAAGAAGTTACACACATTTATCAAATCTGCTAACACATTATCAAATACTATTATATGCTAATTGATATCAATTATCAAGTCCCCTCTAGTGCCTGATAGAGAAAGCCAACAACAGTCCACAAAACTTTCGTCAACACCAAGTCACCAACAGCTACTCAACTTGCTTCAAACCTTTTGAAGTTTGGAGTCTAAAGCATGTTGAAGCCGCAATGAACAAAGTTACGGATACTAACCAATGAAAAAATGGGTCTAGTGGTTAAAACCCTTGGATCACCTAGTAGAAGTTTAAGAGGTTGTTGGTTCGATTCTTGTAAGGAAAGAGAGAGTTAATTTAACAAAGTTTATGTCCCATTCTAGCTACAAAGATGTATGGATCTTCGAGCCCAAAACTTCCTAGTAATTTAAAAAAAAAAAGTCTTACGCAAGAACACATGTACCAATCATACATAGCTAGATACAGAGCATTATGGTTACATAATCAACTATTCTTGGATGCCTCTCGTGTTTGAGCATGTTTCCTCCGCATTATGCGTTGTAATTGTGGTTTATTTGTTTTTTTTTTTAATTCGTATGGTACATACTGGTATCTTTTTTATCCTTTCGTGATCTAAACTTTTGCTTCTTTTATTCTTTAGTTATCATTACGCGATCAAACCAATAGGAACCAAATTGACTATAGTAAATGTGCTCATCTTAGTAATTCTAGAATCAGTACAACAAAACTACATAAACTACATAAACTAAAATCCAAACGTTGTAGAATGTTCAGGATCTTAACAGCAGTAAATCATCATTAATAGAGTAAAATAGTAAACAAACCAGAAAAAAAGAACAAAACAGAAACAGAGGGATTTAATTATTGCTTACGGTAGATGTTTGAAATTGGAAAGAAAAAAAGATAGAAGAAAACAAGCATAGGATATAATGATATAATCTTAAGCTTGAGGTTTGTCCCACTTGAGTGGCTTCACGACCTCCCAGGTGAAGTCAGGGTCGTCCCTTCCGAAATGTCCATACGCCGCCGTTTTCAAAAACCTTCCATTGCCTCCTCTCTTCAAATCCAAGTTGATCGTCATCATCCCTGGTCTGAAATCGAAGCTCTCCTTCACGATCTTCAAGATCTCCTTGTCTGGAATCAACCCTGTTCCGTAAGTGTCCACAAAGACAGACAACGGCTCTGGAACTCCAATGGCGTACGAGACCTGAACAAGAGCCCTACGAGCCATTCCGTTGGCAACAACGCTCTTGGCAGCTTGCCTCACGATGTAAGCACCACTCCTGTCGACCTTGGTCGGGTCTTTCCCTGAGAAAGCACCTCCTCCGTGAGCTCCCCATCCTCCGTAAGTGTCGATGATGATCTTACGTCCGGTTAAACCGGCGTCACCGTGTGGTCCACCGATCACGAACCGGCCTGATGGGTTGAGGTGGAAGATGGTTTTGTCGTCGAGGTACTTCTCTGGGATGATGGGTTTGATGACATGCTCCTTGAGGTCACGTGCGATCTCATCGTTGGTCACAGTCTCATCATGCTGGGTCGAGATAAGGACGGTGTGGACACGGACCGGAACCATGGCGCCGTTGTCGTTGTAGTACTCAACAGTGACTTGGGTTTTACCGTCTGGTCTCAACCAACGGCAAGTTCCGTTCTTCCTCACTTCCGTAAGCTTAGCACCGATCTTGGTCGCTAGGACATGGCTGAGAGGCATGAGCTCAGGGGTCTCATCAGTAGCGTACCCAAACATGTGTCCCTGGTCACCAGCTCCAATCTCCTCAGGGCGCTTGGTGAAGTGACCGTGAACACCTTGAGCAATGTCTGGACTCTGCTGCTCGATGTTGACAAGGACCTTGCACTTGTCAGCGTCGAGACCAACGTCGTCGGAGATGAAACCAATGGAGCGGCAAGTGTCGCGGACGATCTTCTCGTAGTCGACGGTAGCCTTGGTGGTGATCTCACCGAAGACCATGACCATGTTGGTCTTGGTGCATGTCTCACAGGCGACTTTGCTGTCGGGGTCTTGCTCGAGGCAGGCGTCGAGGACTGCGTCGGAGATCTGGTCGCAAAGCTTGTCTGGGTGTCCTTCGTTGACGGACTCGGATGTGAATAGGAAAGTCTCCATTTTATCTCAAAGCTACAAACAAAATAAAGATTCAATCAGCATCCTCATAAGTAATACTACAAGTGGAAGTATTCATAACTAGAAAGAAAGTGTCAACCTTTTTAAAAAAGTAAAAAAGAATCATTTTATTCCACACTCAAGTAGTGACATAAAGCTAAAGAGATAATAAAAGCATTTTTTTAAATGATAAAACAGATGCATCTTATCCTCACAGCACAAAAAAATGATGGAGATCTAATATAATATATAATATAAATAAACTTAAGTGAAGCTTAGTAGCAGACTAATGTGCATTCATTAACTAAGAAGACTCATCATTTCAGGCTAAGACTTAGTGCAGACATAAACTTAGACTGCATTTAAAAATGGTTATATATATTAAAATAAAATAAAAAGCCAGATTCAAATCATATACACACACACTTGTCCAATGAGAAAAAATATTCAAATCTTAGCAAAAAAAAACATAAAACTCATCATGTAGATCCGCTTTAATAGATACTAAACAACTCAAAAACAAACAGATCCAAATAAGTTTTATTCATCGGAGCTAAACCTAATACTTAGATCTGTGAGATTCGCCATAACCTTAACCTAATCAGATCCCTCAACTACAGAACGAACAGTATCGCAGATCCAGTAAAAAAAATTCAAAAAAATTCAAATCTGAATCGAAAAAACCATAGCAAAAATCTCATTTCATCGCAGATTCAATAAAATCGATACAACCGTCAGATCGAGACGAGAGCATGAATCGTAAGAAGGAGGGAGGAGGAGAGGGATACCTTTGGGGGATAGAGAAATGCGAGTACAGATCTGATCTCACAGTCTCTCTATGCCTCTCTCAAAGCTAGCGAAGGAAGGAAGGAAAGGAGTCGGGGACGATTTGTGGATCTAAAACGGCGTTGCTATTTATAGAGATTAACTGCTACTCTTTACTGGCTACCGAACCTACTGGTTTTATTTATTAACTCTGCAGCACCTCTTTGCTTTTTTTCTTCTTTTTATTTGGCTTATTCGGCTACCTACGTGTAATATTATTATATAATTGTAAATGTTTGTTTTTTTAGTGAAAATATATTACTTCAATTAATCGAGTTATGCTTTCTACATGGTAATATAGTAATATGAATTTATTAGCCTTTGTTAATCTATGTAAACTAATCGAGTTATGCTTTCTACAAACTTGTTGATGAAACAAAAATTTGTAATCATGGATCTAGATGAGTTCACACTATCACCAATAAGGTAACTCCTGATATGCCCTATATTTAATATTTATTGACTTACCAGATCTTAATGTAATCATTTAAACACAATACAATACTAATGTAAATTCTGTATAGATAAATTTGAGTAGTAGCAGTAAATGGCCAATTATTTGTCTTTCCATATCGTTATCTGGCGTCCAATATTTATGGAAAATAACCCTTAAAATTAAAATAATAGCTTTCAATCAAAATCACCTTAAAATACTTATATGAAACAATAAGAAGATCAAATAATATGTGTATAAGTTGTACATTCTGAAGATCCAATTGTAATATTTTGAAATTTTATAATTTATAGTCTTTTCTCATCTGAATTATATACAAACACTAAAATAGAACAACAAACAAACTTATTTCATACAACTTTTAAAAATAAATTTAAGTCATTTCAGGCCTATTAATAAGGATAGGAAAGACAGGACTACAAGAATAAAGTGGGACAGAAGCTCTCTCATGAATCATGACTCAGTTTTGGGGTAGGTGAAATTGTAATAAGTTCTGTCGTTGTTGAGAAAAAAATTATGACCATTAGATCTCTCACTAAACGGTTGAATTTAGAGGATGTCTAGTGACATATTTGACCTACTTCACTTACAATCATGCTATTCATTATTAATTATTTATTTGCGGGCACCTTCTATACTTTATTTTCTTACATCTCTTAAGTTTTAAAAAGGAAAAAAAAAAGAGAATGAATGAAAAGGTGGATTAAACCAATGGGAAAAGGAATCGTAATCGATCTAATTTCTAAGCTAATCAATGTAGCTCGACAAAAGGAATAGGAAAATGTAACAACGGGGAGGTGTCGGTAGCACGACCAATGCTACATGTTTAGGAAGTTTCGCAAGAGCTTACTACACTAATTTCGGCTCGGCGCGGCTTATCAGCTGATTCGTGTGTGTAGCTTAGCTTCAACATATATCTGTAGTGGGGTTGGTAATGTACACCTACCCATTTTTCTAATTTAGTATTTTAGGTGAAAATAATTCTGCTCAAGGAATGATAAACGTTTTAATCAAAAGAGAAAATAATTTAGAAATGGCATAATTTTTAAGCATGATTTAAACGGGGGATTCTGTGAATGATTAATTTCGTAATTCGTTTAAATTAAGAGTAAATATATCAGCCAAGGTTTATAATTTAAAGAATATTTTTTTTATTTAAAATTAATTAATTCAAACTTACGTACCTTTGAATTCTGATTAGTGATATATAAGCAAACATATACAGTCCAAATATTTAAAGAAAGTTATATACTGTTGTTTAAATTGCTTACTACTATTGTTCTTTGTGGCAGATAGATGCATGTTTATGTTACTCGTAATTTTATGTTCAAATTGATAGGTTGCTTTTGAATAGACTGTAAGATTTGCTCAATTAGTTGGTGTGGTATATATATATATTTACCACTGGAGTTTGGATAATTCTAGCAACTAGTTTGAGTGCTAATCTAGCGGTCAACTTTGAGTGCTAATAGAAAGGTATAAGTCCAAAGTCGTCGAAAATTATAAGTTGTGCAAGTGAGTTACGTTGAGAAAGGTAGTTGGTAGAGTCGTATTTGCTGCATGTTAAACTCATGCACCCACAACATAGTTCTGACCGGTGTTGAAATGTCGTCACAGATTGCATAAAAAATAATCAGCACATATGATTATTATTATTTCTAATCTTAAATTCTAAACTAATATCAAGTTCAAGTTGTGAGTCACCAGCATCTTTCAAAGAAGAAGTTTTGTGAGTCCAGGCTACAAAAAAAGTCCACGAGTTATTGGGTTATTAGTTATTACATATTTCAACATGTATTGTTTGCTAATGCGGTAGACATTTCTATCATCAAAACTAAAATGGTTTTTTGTAAAAAAAAAATTCAGTCAAACAAACGAAACTAGTTTCTTTTATTTTTTAATTTACAAAACTCATACTTAACTTTCATGCGAACCTTATAAGAATATTTTACTTTTATTAGCCAGGATTTTTGGAAGAATATGGTGCGAAGATTATATATTTTTGGGTTAATCCTTCCTTTGAAGTTTTGAATTATTGAAAAACAACAACAAAATAAATTAATATAAATGATCACAGATCTGGTCACCAACCACTAGATTAGCAAATGAATGGACATAAGCCAGTGATCAGTTTTAAGAATATATACAAAAGAAATAAACTTCGATTAAAAAATACAAATAAATAAATAAACAAACAACTCAAAGCACATGTTACACTATTAATCTATCAAAACATCGAATATCAGAATATAAATCATCAATTTCAAAAGAATAACAATTAAGTAAAACTATTTTTAAAAAAATCGTTCTTAAAATAAATTATTCAACGTTGTAAGATATTTTAAATTATAAACGTTTTTGAATGCATAAAATTCAACATCTGTGTACTGAGATCTAGCCAGAATGTATGGTCGAAAAGCCACACATAAATATTACAAAACCACGTAACTATTAATCTCAAATAAATCAAATAACCGATAAATTTAATTATTAAAAATAAATCGTACTTTAATTGATTAGTAATATGAATAAGGTCATGTGTAACGTTGATATTTCGTCCATAAAGGTCCCACTCACATGGGCACAATTCCATATTACCGATCTTGAGCAATAATGTAACTATCAAATTGGGTTCAGATCCATGATACCACAATTTAATAGCCCACCGACAAAAAACACATCTCTTATCAAACTTTAAACCAGAAACCAAAACCCGGTTTACTCTTAACCAGCAATCAAAATTGGGTTGGTACAAATTACAGGTTTTTGATACGAACCGAGCTGTTAACCGGAGAATTCAACCATTTGGATTCCACGTCCAGCCACAGCGATCTGATATCTATTTCTGCACACGGACAGATTTAAAATATAACATATTTGGTATATGAGCAAACATGGCAACAATAGAAAAGCTTGTGAGAGTAACTAATGCATTTTTACTTACTCATCAATGGCTTTAGCATCCAAAGCCTCTGGCTCGGGTACACTGATGACTATATGAGCATGCTCGACCAGTTTACCATCTTTGTTTATATACCAACATCTCACACGTTGATCAAGACCTGTTGAGAATATCCACTTCACGTCCATCCACACACCTTCATCGTCATCAAAATCAAGAAATCAAGATTCGTTAGGGATAAGCTTTTTTTTCTTTTACAATTTTACAGTGGTGTAGTACCTTTTATGGCAGAGCTATGAGCCGATGCAACACCTCCACGGTCTGTGAGCCTGATACTGTAACACTGGGTTTGTTTTAGATCCATTGTTTCAGATTTGTTGGCTGGACTATTACTTCTAATGATGTTGAAGCTAAGACAATGAAGGGCTTGATCATCACCGCCGCTAATCACATTGAACATAAAACCATTGTCGTTACTTGGAGAGCTGCTCGAGGGGGAAACATGAAGACAGTTGACGCCAGATTGATGAGCATTCTTAACGACATGTGAAGGCTTTATCTCGCTTATATCAGGAAGAGGCTCTGCACTTTCGCTTTCCTGAGTAAAACCATTTGTGACTTCCAAAGACGTTGCTGGATCTTCTTCTGCAGCTTCACTAACCGAGTTACTGCTACTGTCTTGTGTTCTCTTCGCGCCTACCAGTTTCCATTTCCTACCACCTTGGCTTCCTCTTCCAGTTCGTGGTCGTTTCTGACAATCAATGAACTTCTCAATATGGAGGCTCGATACTTGCTTTACAAAAGCTTCTACACATATAGTTACATCCCAAAAGGCTATGCTCCCATCTGTGGCTCCACTGATGAGAAGATAGACATCACTAGATGATGCATTATTATTACCTGTCAGGTAAAGTTACCGAAAGTGTTACACAATGGTTTATTTTAGAAGAGGTCAACTGATAGAGAAGTATTAATGTCAATGGCTAAACCTTCATGTGAGGGATGCAGAGGCACAATGGCGTGTTGTAGTGACAGAACTGGAGATGCTAGAGGAACCAAAGATGCAACATCAAACCTGAAATTAAGAGTATCAACATGAAACACACATGTATACTGTAATCAAACAAGCAAAGCACTTCTTCTGGTTAGTTACCATAATCTATGTGGCAAGACCAGGGCTCGAAGTGTAAGGGTGGCATCAGAGCAAGCCACAGCGATAAAACATATAGTTAGCCTGAAAAAGATGAAGAGACAAGATTTGAACATCATTGATGGGTTCAATCAAAGTAAGTGAAGGCTGTCTCTCTAACCTGGAACCAACACATTTAACTAGAAATGCAGTGGCAGCCATATATCTCCAGTCATCTTCATAGTTTTCTCGCCCCTGGTACGAATTGGATCTTGATTCTGTGACGTTAAAGCTAGTATCTTCTTCTACACTATCCAGTTTGGGAGTTTTCTCAATCTTTTTACTTTTGGTGGGCATGTCAGTAGCAAGCCATTGGAACGTCACTGAAGAGACGTCTGATGAAGCTCTGTCATCTCCATTATCACTAACAAACGAATCTCCCTTCTTATTTGTTCTACCATTTCTTAGAAGCCAAGAGGTTAGAACACGCTTGGCTCCAACAGATATCAGTAAGCAAGGGTTTTCACTATCATCCACTGCAGAGTCTTGTCCGTGCGTGTCTGGCAAGTTAGGTAT